TTAATTCGTTTTGGTTGAGATCTCCGCATTAAGAGTCCTGTATCAAGAAAAAATTCCTTAACTGGTAACCCTTTATACTTGGTGACTACCGTACCTTTGCTTAAAGCTTGTATGATCTGGCCGTACCTCTTATCAGTGCGTTAGGCAGCATATACCTTGTCTTTATGCAGCGGTTCTAGGGAGGGAACTTGTGAAGCACTATTCACAACAGCTGACGAAGGCAAGCTAAATGAAGGGGGGAAATCTGCAGCGTCATCCCTCCTCAAAGGGTGCGAAGTTTCGATTGGCGCGCTTGACAACGTGTCGGCGGCGACATTTGCGCGGCCCTGAATATACACAAATGTCACATCGAAATCGCCCAGGATATCCTGATAACGTGCCCTACGACCATACGGATCATAACCATTGAGCGATGTGAGCGGCATGTGGTCCGTGTGGACCATGACCTTGTACCCTAGTATTATATCTCGGAAATACTTAAGAGCCCATACAATCGCTAACATTTCCCTATCGGTGACTGAGTAATTCTTCTCTCTGCAAGTTACCTTCGTGCTCCTGCATTAAAGCCGCACCGAGCCCAACATTCGACGCGTCTGTATGAAGAATGAAAGGGAGGTCAAACCGGAAATGCAAGCACGGGAGCAAGCGATAAACAATTCTTCAGCTTTCTATATGCATTGACTTGCTCCTCGTCCCAGCGCCAAGGGACGTCTTTCTTGAGGAGGTACGTCAGTGGTGCAACGATCCTCCCATAATCCTTGATGAAAGGCCTATAAAAACCAGCCAACCCCAGGAATGACTTTACCTGTGTTACATCAGAGGGAATGGGGAACATACTGACAGCTTTGACCTTGGCCTCGTTAGGGGCAATACCTGCAGCACTAATCGAGTGACCAAGGAAATCTAAGCGCGACTGGAAGAACTTGCATTTCGCCGGGTTAATTGTCAAACCCGCTTCCGAGAGTCGCTGAAAAACACTGCACAAGCGCGCTTCGTGTCCCTGATCGAAGGTGAACAAACCAAAATATTGTCTAAGTAAACTAGCACCTGATCATTAATTAAACCCTGCAGGACGAGTGCCATGAGACGACTAAACGTCAAAGGGGAGTTCCTGAGACCCGTGGCTGATACAAGGAACTTGAAGTGACCCACATGCGTTGAAAATGCAGTGTACGGTCGGCTGTCCTCTGCCAGGGGGACCTGAAGGAAACCTTTCGCCAGATCAATTGAGGAGAAAATCTTACTGTCTCCACCATGTCTTGCAAGAGTTGGCGAAGGTTAGGAATAGGAAAAGGTGACGGAAGTCATCTTGTTCAGACGCAGAAAATCACACACAGGACGAAAACCATGCTGACGCTTCGGAACTAGCAACATCGGCGCTGACCATGGGCTAATCGAAGGCTGGATTAGCCCTTGCTGCAGCATACCACGTACTTCATCCTCTAGAATCTGACGCCTACTGTGCGGGATTTTGTATGCCAGAATATACACAGTTTAGCTCCAGGCTCTAGAGTGATAGCGTTCAACCATATTTCTGCCTAATGGACAGTCCTTGGTCGGTAAAATGTCGGGGAATTGATTTAGTAATTTACTGAGGGTCTTACCCTCGCTAAACGCGAATGGTCCCTGCATAGCCTTTGCTAATGCTGCAGCGAACGGGTCAGCTGAATCGGCGGAATGAGAAGAAACAGCGCCAGAAAAAACTGACGTGGGAAGCTCAAATTCAGCAATCGGAAGATCCGTAATCTCACAATCAATTAACCTAACACCACTATCTATAGACAAAGGGGCGGGTGTTCAAGTTCATCACATGGACTTGTGTACTTCCATCCCGCAAGGTATACAGAGAGGGAAGAACACATGTCCCTGGTGAGGGGAGGACCAAGAATGTACCATTATTACTTGCCGAGGAGGTTACATTAATCAGAACATCATGAAAAGGTGGTATTTCTACAGACTCCCGACTAAGTGCGCCAAACCATCATTGTCAACCCACGTGTTATGCTTTGATGAACGTGGTGATGTGTTGGCGATGTTCGTGCGTGAATTGTCTGTAGCATGGTGAACAGGAATTTCAGGATAGACAGAATGAGGTCTAGACTGAAGAGTAGAGCTCACAGTATGTGAGGGAGGTGGAGGAGATAGTCGCGGAGGAGGGACAGGAGAGAGAGGAAGAGAAGGAGGGGAGGAGAGTGATGTGTCCATGATCATGGTCATGTTGGATGGATGACTGAATCCGCGAGATGACATTTGCGATAGGTGCGGAATCAAGCATGCTAGGATGAAAAGGTCCGGATGCTTCCAAATGGAACTCGGTTCACTTAGTTTATAAACCTGGCTGTTAATTTCCACCTCATTCTGCTGCGGTCGCAAAACCATACCAGAACGCTATAGAAAATCATGGCCAAGAAGCAAGTGGCCGGGGAAACTATGGTAACCCTTGACTACGACGAACTGATGAGGGAATTTGATGTTTCCAAACCTCAGTTTTACGTACATAGTCCCAACTACACCTAGCTTGGAGCCTGTCAGGCCTCTAACACAAACATTAGCTAGCAATACCTCAGGCAAGAGCCGAAAGTCCTCTAACACCCGTGAGACTGATGCAACTTCCCGTATCAATGAAAAAGTGTGCGACCTTCTCATTAAGTTCAGCAGGTAAGAGAGGGGCCCCTGATCTTGCATTCAGTACACCAGCACTAGCAACTGAGAAGACGACGCAACTACCCCAGAGACCATTACACTTCCTTGCCTGTTTCTTCGTCTAAAAAAAATCACCACTCACTTTCTGTACGCTCCTTTATTAATCTTTGTGATAAATTTAAGGGAGATCGCCACCTGATCTGGGAACAACGTGCACTCATTAAACACATGCCCGTGCCTGTTATAATACGGACAGAGCGGCTTAGCAGAGCACACAGACGGACGATGCATCCTCAAACATGCAAAGGGAACGACGAAGGGAAGGGCAAGAAAACACACGAATATGCCGAAGGCCTTTTCACTATTGCTTCGTCAGGGCATATGCTACATGAGGTACATAGAGGAGTATATATACAACTACTGGGTGATCAGGTCACGTCGGTAATCAGGTGAGCGACGACCTTGGCTAGTTCATGGCTCCCCGTAGCGGTGTTGATGTTATTAGTTGTATGAATGAACGCCGCTTCTACCATCTTCCTTTGTCGTGGGGCCAGGCCTTGTTTTATGATGGAGGCCTGGGACCACTTCGGGAGGTGACCATCGGTGTCTGCGTGAACAACGAAAGCGCTTCTCGTGTCATGGCGTCGGAGAGCGCTGCGGTGTTGACTGATACGTTGTTCGTGCAGTCCTCGTGATGTCTCGCCTATGTATACCTTATCACAGCCCCCACAAGGTATGCTGTACACCTGGCTGAGGGGTCTGTTGTGGTTTGATCTCTTCTCTCTCACGATGTCTCCGATCTTCTTGCCTGAAGACGTAGCTATCTTGAGAGTATGGCCCACCAGGGCCAGTAGGTGCTCAGTCAATTCCGAGTGGGGGATGATTATCCTCTGAGTTCTACTTTGTGTGTCCTCACCTCTCGGCCTGCCCATGATCTTCTCGGCCTTGCGTCGGAGGTGGGTGAGCATGGAGCGGGGATAGTGGAGGTGTTGGAAGGTGTTGTAGACGTGTTTCATCTCATCCTCCAAGAACTCAGGGCTGCATATTCTGAGGGCCCGGAGGAAGAAACCAATGACCACGCCTTCTTTGGTTCTCTTACTATGGGTAGAAAAATAGTGAATGAAATCATCTTTATTTGTGGGTTTTCTGTATACTGAAAATACCGGTCCATTAGGTCTCCTGTGGATCATGGTGTCCAGGAAAGGGAGTTGTTCATCCCTCTCTTCTTCTGTGGTGAATTGGATGGAGGGGTGCACTGCATTGAGTCTGTGGAGGAGATCAGGCAGGTTCGTCCTGGTTGGTACTACAGCGAGGATGTCGTCCACGTAGCGGAGCCAGACCACGTTCCTTCCCACGATGTTACGGTAATGGTCGGCCTCGAGGGTTTCCATGAACAGCTGGGCAAGGACTGCTGAAAGTGGTGAACCCATCGCAAGTCCCTGGATCTGTTCGTACTCGCTTCCTCTGAATTCGAACGGGCCAAACTCCACGCAGAGACGGATGAGTTCGATGTAGTCATCTATCTGTGTTCGTCGTTCCCTTTGCAATCCGTTCAACATGAATTCCACACATGGGATCCTCAAACATCGACGACACTGCCCAATTCGCTACGTGTGGTTTACCGCAGCAGCCAGGGGAGAAGCAGCTACAAGATATTGTGGGCCAGAGGGAGGCTTCTGGCTCGCACACGAAGGCGGGGGAGGGGGGGGGGGTTTGCTCCACGCGGCGAAACACGGGCGCGTGTGATTAAATTAAATGAATCAAGTGCTTCGGCTATATGTGCTATTTCGTGGTTGAGCCACATTCTGGCCGCTACAAGGAAGAAATGCTAGATCCTGAGAATTTTGATGCTACATTGTACATCGTAGGAGCCATGCCTGTATTCATATTTGAGGCCGCCGTAACGAAAGTGAAGTCAGAGGAGGCAGGTAGAGTGGCGGAGAGAATGGTGTTGGTTTGTGAGGGAGAGAAAGAGGGGAGACTGATTCAGAAGTAGATGAAGAGCCTTTACAACAAATGACATTTGATGCTAGTCGATCGTCTGTATCTCAATGTTCTAGATTTTTTACTGGTATTTGTAGGTTTTAGAATAGATTACCTTCAGAAATTGTAACGTTTCCCGACTCGAAAAGATAGGTCTGTTTTTGGTCTGTCTTTTGACCTGCACCTTTTGTTTGGTATATTTCTCGATTTTTCTTCAGTGTAGTTCTTCTTATGGCTTTCCATGATAATGATTATAATGATAATACATATATCCTATATATAATACACACACACATACACATACACACACACATGTATATTTATATACATGTTTGTGTGTGTATGCGTGTGTGAATCCCCATCTTCGCCGGCAGCACTTCGCCTCCCTCACCGGCTACGACCTCCTTGATCCGGACGACGAGCCACTCTCCCCGGACGACTACATCCGCTACTCTTACAAGTACGACCAGGAAGAGTACGACGACCTTGGATTCCCCGTTGACGACCACCGAGCGAAGGACGACGACGAGGAGGAGGACGTGTTACCGCTCGAGTTCGTGTACGACAGGAGGTTCCCGTCCAGGTTCCTGCCGATCGACCGTAGGGTGAGTTGGTTCTGAAGGGAGTCGTAGAGGGCAGGTCACATACAGACATACGTGTCTGTCTGTCTATATTTGTGTGTTTATATTCAGATTTTTTTTCTCTAAAATGTGCACTGACGGAAGGCGCTGATATTTCCTGGCTTAGTACTGACGATTGGTGATGTATATCCAGTTATAGTAGAATGCGGTGATGTATGTCTGGTGCATATAGATACACAAACAGGGATATCTCTCTCTCTCTACCTATTATATCTACTTTATACCTACATTTACATCTACATTATATATACATTTGGATCTACTTTTAAATCTGAATTTACATCTACATCTACATAGTAGTTGCTTTCATACCAAGGTGGGACGTCGCACGTGGCATGGCACGAGACATGCCACTTGAAAATGAATATATTAAACATGAAACCTGTCACACAGAAGTGGCATGGCACGTAGCATATGTTACATGCAACCTGCTTACCATTCCAAAAATTGACTTGCCTGTTATTATTAGTGCAGTTATTATAATTATTATTATTATTTTTTTAAATCTTATAAGACGTGATATACAAACGAACATTTTTAGAGGTATGGCTTGCATAGAGTAGTTTTGAAGTGTCTACAAATATTCTGCCCAACACATTTGACAACACGGCTTCGCTCGCTCAGTGAGTGAGGCTTTGAATGAGGTCATCACACGCGGTCTTGCAGAAGGAAACAATGCGATGTGCGCCTTCTCTTGTGGACAGCTATGTCTCTTTCAAACAATGAACTAATCAGTATAACATTTGTACAAACTTGGGTGAAATACAAATGTTTGTATGACACATCACCTCAGGCCAATAAAAAATATTCTCAGTGGTAGAATTATCAAAATGTTTTTCCTTATAAGCACTTACAGGATATTGGAACAAGTTTGCCTCACAATATTCCCAAAGTCATCCACTTTATCCCTCCAAGTGACAGATAGATGATTTTCACAAGATTACCTAGGACTTACGACAACAATATCACCGTCATCCTCTGATGATACCATCTGGGGAACCAAGTGACACGTACCTTAGGCCGCTTTCACACCAAGGTTGATAGTCGAACATGGGATGCCATTTGAAAACGAACACCTTGAAATATATGAAGCCTTTCACACAGATGTGGCGTGGCGTCGCACACAGATCACACCCGGTACATGTGACGTGCCTTGCCACTTCTTTGTGAACAGTTTCATATATTTCTGAATGTTCCTTTTCAAATGATGTGCCACGTGCGACGAACCACCTTGGTGTGAAGTTGGTTTTGGTCATTGGTCACTTGCCACCTGCCACTTGTCACGTGTGATGCGACATCTTGGTGTGAAAGCGGCTTTAGGGCGCTTCCATGCCATATGTGTATATATATATATATATATATATATATATATATAGTGTTTATGTATTTATATGCATGTATTGTTTATGTATTATGTATTATATATGTATGTATGTGTATGTATTTATATGTGGTATGTATGCCTGTATCCTGTGTTTATGTGTATTTATATGCCTGTATGTATTTGCCTGTAATGCCTGTATTTATTTATGCCCTGTACCTGTATTTATATTTGCCTGTATATGCCTGTATTTATGGCCTGTATTTATATTTATTTATATGCCTGTATATTTGGGTATTTGTGTATTTATATGCCCATATTTGGGTATTTATATACATATTTGGGTATTTATATATCCTGTCTATATTTGGGTATTTATATGCCTGTCTACATATCCATATGCCTGTCTATATCATTATGCATGTATGTACATCAGCTATAAACACAGGGCCGCTTCGACCTCCTCAACCCAGACCTCGGCCCGGAAGGAGTACCCTTCGTCGAGGGAGACATGGTTTTCCCAGAAAAGCCTTCACCTCCAGGAGGAGAGGGGGCGGGGGTGGGTGAGGAGGGAGGACGGAAGCTCGTGTCGCAGGAACGGCTGCTTTGGCCGCCGCATCCGGATACTGGCCTCCCCTTCGTGCCGTTTGTCATTCACAGCTCGGGTGAGAACGCGTGTGTGTGTGTGTGTGTGTGTGTGTGTGTGTGTGTGTGTGTGTGTGTGTAATGTAATGTAATGTATATATGGCTATATAATCTATTGATCCCACCGCTTCCAAGTTCACCAATCAGCATTGCCGATGTGTCAATCACTTAAATATCTCAAACACTAAATTTTCGAGGAAAGAGCATGTGGTTTGGTGCAGAGACCAAGACACTGGTAGTGCTGAGTAGCGAAATTAGAAGTAGAGGGAATTGTGCAGACATAAATGAAGTGCAAATATGTCCTTTTTTCTTATACTTCTCCTCCCCCCTTCCTCCCTTAGCCAAGAAAATCCGGCCCCTGCTCGAAAAGGCCATCCGCACGTGGGAGAACCGCACCTGTATCACCTTCAAGGAAATACCCTTAGAAGACGAGGACGACCTGCATGGCTACTCAGATTCCCAGCAGCGCCTTCGGGGGCCATTCCTCGTGTTCGTACGGAGTTCCGGTTGCTGGAGCTACGTCGGGAGGCAGTACTGGCGGCGGTGGGGCCAGAGACTCTCGATCGGGCGGGGGTGCACGAAGGTAGGTGGCTGGTGCTTGTGGGTTGAAGAGACTTGACGGGAGTGGAGTATTATCGCTGTGTGCTTTTGGTGCGTAGAAACCTTTTTTTCACTGGGGTGTATTCATTGATCATTTGCGGGTAGTTTAATATGCATTGCTAAGTGAGTTGTTTTATTATTTACTACAGTGATAGTATTGTATTGCTAAAAACTCGAACTGTATTATCTATCGGGAGGAAAAATGTAACCACTGTGATACATGTGCAGCAGATTAGTTGTGATACAAGCGGCATAGATCTTTTCAACACTAAGCCAGCAAGCTGAATGGTTTGCCAGCTATACCAAAGTAGCATCATTTTTATAATAATCAAAGTTTTCATTCCATCTCGCATCATGTACTAAGTGTCAATGGCTGTAATGGTACACTGGGATCAAGAGATGAAATATATAATCTTCAAAAAACGGTAGAGCATTGTGGCATCAGATCGATTTTGTGGCTCCTATTTTGCCATTTGAAAACCGTCATTAACCTCTTGGTAATTTATTAATCTAGCGCTTGCAACTAGTTCTTCTATCTTACTAAAATGGGAAATATTGGCCTGTAAGCAGCGTGTTTGAAGGATAAATTAAATTCAATACAGGAGAGGAGCAACAAAGACTGTAATGTGACGTTTGACTGAGACACGATCAAAACATTTTTTGAAGCTGCTAATTAGATTGAATTTTATGTGCCACCTTTTCTGGTAGCAATTTGGATGTCACCAATTGGCCGCAATTGACATCTGGCTGTTTTATTGCACTGGTTATTTTTTCGATAGGTACACAGTATTTTGCAATGTAATATCCTGATAGCTTTTGATGTCTTATGTTGGATTGTGCTATGTTAAAGATATCCAGTAAAAGTATGAATATGCATCAAAATAACTGAGGTAGGAGCAATGCATCTGGCAACTCGCGAGAGAGGGGTCGTGTTTGCCGTAATCGCAGTAAAAGACGGCTATAGTCAAGCTGCTTCTAACACCCATTCTTTCCCAAAGGCATCTCGTAATAAGGGGTTCATGAGGTACACAGTAACCTCCCATCTCTCACTGTCACCCCATTATGACTTGCACACCTTGTAGCCCATAAACAAAGCCTGTAACTAATGTCATTTACAATTCAGTCTCTCCTACTATCTCCCTTTACAGCTCGGCACAGTATTGCATGAAATCGGCCATGCACTCGGCCTTCTGCATGAACAATCCCGGAGCGACCGAGACGAGCATGTGAAAATCTTGTGGGAGAATATCATACTAGGGAAACAGAAGAATTTTCGTGTGTGGAAAGACAGTCGATTTGATGGAGTTCCTTATGATTACTCTTCCGTCATGCACTATGGGAGTTATGTAGGTCTTTAACAGTTTTTATTGATCTTTAATTTCTATTTTTCTTATTTTTTCCTCGCAGACCAACAGAAAATAATAAACTAAATATGATTATGACCATATTAAGATTATATATAAAAAAAAAGTTATGAATAATGGAGATGGTATAGTAAATGTCGAAATTACATTGGCAACAGTACTGTCAATTATTGACAGTAGTAATCTAAGACAGATGTAGTAGTAATAGTGTTAATTATCAGGTAAACTCTACTAACTAATGATAATACTGTAATATGGTGATGAATTTTCCTTAGCTGTCCATTTCTTTTTGTCAGTCATTACTGCCACCACCACCCAGCATTTTCTCCATTGTCCTCTCAGTTTTTCAGCCAAGGCGGCCAGCCGACGATCCTCCCCAGGAACCCCTTCCACCAGCCCCTCCTAGGCCAGCGGGATGGCTTTTCCTTCAGGGACACTGCGGCGGTCAACTCCATCTATGGCTGCGTTAGTGAGTTAGGGGTCCCTTTTGTGAAGGTCTTGTTTTCATGTGAGAAAGGTTATAGGTGTGCAGTTTTGATGCCTGTTTTTTTTTGTGTGTGTGTGTGTGTGTGTGTCCTATGGATTTATGTGTTTGTGTCGTGTATTTGCATGCGTGTGTCCTCCCGCGCGTTTATACAATCAGTATGTTTTTGGATTTTGCCAAAGGATTGGTCTTAGTTGACTATTCAGTTTTATCGAGCTAGGTTATGGCATTGCTAATAATTGGTTTGAATCATATCAAAGCAATAGAAAATGGGATCTTCCCATCTTTGTTTATGCACTTCATTCTCGAAGGCATGCTGTATTTTGTAATTGTTTCTTTTATTTATCGCTGATGTGAAAGGAGTCCTATTGTAAATTTCAGTGTTTTACTATGACAGTGATAGACCTTTGTCCTACAAAAGTGACATTCTCATAGATATAGTACAAAGTTGATAAACGTCACTCGCTGAATATCTTGTCATTTGAAATGTCAAAAAATTCATTCATATCATAGGAGCAAATATACGATAGATATCAGTTCGATTTTCATTGACAAAAAATGGAAAAGGATTCAAGCTCTAAATATTCAGGATTAGCATTAGCTAAGCCCGGTCTTAAAATAGCTTTCTACATTCTGTCTAGAACAGAATAACGAACAATGTGGTATCTTACATCTCTAAGGAAGTACTGCTGTCTTCTCCAGCGGGTTATGGCAAGCGCGGCACCTCTCGTGCGAGAGGAATCGAACAGGCGGTAAACATTTATCGAGTCACTAGATGCATTCTTCCTACTTCAGTTATTTTCATGCATATACATAACTTTATTGGATACTTAGAACACAGCAAAACCCAACATATAATATCAAAAGCCATCTGTACGTCGAAAAGATCACCTGTACAATGAAACTAGTCCACTTTTATGTCATAAAAGTGGACAGAGCTTATGCTGCGTTCGGAACTGCTCGTCCTGCTCGTCCAGACCAGTTGGACGAGTTGTTTTGACCGTTCAGAACCTCTACTATCTCGTTCTGGACAAGTCCATCTCGTCCATCTCGGCCTCCTGCGAACCTGGGCGAGCAGAACGAGATGACGTTACAATAGCTTTTGTATGTAAACATTGACAGTTGCAGGTGACCACAAGATATTGATGGGTAATTTTATGGCCCTTTATTGGTCTTATCAAGGGATATTTTTGTGTTTGTCAGTTGCAGGTAAGTTAAATATGCATCGAAGGAGTTACAGAACCTATGCTGCATGTGTAATAAAGACACCGGTATGATAAGAAAATGAATACATTCGAGCCGGGTGCATTCTGGGCAGAAAGGGTCTTGGTGGTTCCGAACGCGGCCCACTTGTCCTGCTGGTCCTGGACACGTTGTGGAGACGAGAAAGAGGAGGAGTTCTGAACGCAGCATTAGCGACGTGTCCCGCCTCCGATCACGATACAGCTTTTGAGTGCGATACCCTAATTGCCATAGGAAAAGATGGCATTTGTTAACATTGTTGGCTCTGAACAATGCCTTGTTTACTCCTATAAACATCATCATATATTGATTGCCGTTCATTTAAGTATTTTGTTTATGTATGAATGCCAGAAAATGATACTAATATACATGATTATTTTCGTTGTTAAATAGGGCGTCTGGGAAGAGATTCAGCCATTAATTTCAGTTGTTTTATATTTGTCTTTGTACTTTTAATTATCTTTTGGGCTTTAGATATAGAATTTAATTTTGCATTTCTCTCTCTTCCTCCCCCCCTCTCTCCTCTCCCTCCCCCCCTCTCTCCTCTCTCCCTCCCCCTCTCTCCTTCCCTCCCTCCCCCCTCTCCCTCCCTCTCCTCTCTCCCCCTCTCTCTCCTCCTTCCCCCTCCTCTCTCCTTCCTCCCTCCCTCTCCCCTCCTCCCTCTCTTCTCTCCCCCCCTCTCTCTCCTTCCCTCCCCCCCCTCTCTCCTTCCCTCCCTCCCCCCCCCTCTCCTCTTCCCTCCTCCCCCCCTCTCTCCTTTCCTCCTCCCCCCCCCTCTCTCCTCCTTCCCTCCCCCCCCCCCCCTCTTCCTTTCCCTCCTCCCTCCCTCCCCCTCCCTCCCCCCCCTCTCTCCTTCCCTCCCTCCCCCCCCTCTCTCCCTCCCTCCCTCCCTCTCTCCTTCCCTCCCTCCTCCCTCCCCCTCTCTCTCTCTCCCCCCTCCCCCTCCCTCCTCCTCCCCCCCTCTCTCCCTCCAGAGCGATGGGAAGCCTCCTGTGGCGCCGCGACTCCGAAGTGCGAGAACGGAGGCTACATCTTCCGGAACTGCCGCTGCCTGTGCCCGCCCGGAACAGCTGGACCCACGTGCGCCGCTGTGGTTGGGGACTATTACCGTGAGTTACTCGTGTTGTTGTCCTTTTTTGGTGTGGTGTTTTTTTTCGAGTTGTTAATGCCTGTTGTTTTATTATCATTTAAAGTTAATCGTTTTTTTTTCGTTTTTTTTTTCTGGTGTTTTTATCATCATACTTTTGCTATAGTTTTCTTATCAGATTATTTTTGTTATCGTTTTGTTGTCTTATCTTTGTTTTAGTGTCATTGTATTTGTTGCTATTGTTTTGAAAATATTTCATTATTGTGTAGTATTATTTTTTCTATTTGTATTGTCTGTCATTTTCGAAAGCGGTTTTGATTACTGCTTACATACGTATTTTGAACACCTTTTTTCAGTATGTAGAGTTTAGATGCCTATATCTCGTTTATTGATAATTCATTCTTTATAAACACATATATATTTTTTTCTGCACTGTGAAATTTTATACCGGAAAATGTGACTATTGATGATTATATTCATCAGTAAACTCGAAAAGCATAAACATTTAGCTGCCACGTAACAGGTTTTGATCATGTTTAGCCCAGCTGAAGTGTGGCGGTAACGTGACGTCATCGCAAACCATTTCGTCACCAGGACATCCACGACCCTTTCCTGCGAATAGTAGGTGATTGTGTTTGTAATAGTTGTTAAAGTTAGTGTTATTGATTGGCTGATTGATCTAATGAATATAAGAGATTGATGGTAATGTAAAATTGTTGGACATACACTCGCTCTCTCTGTCTCTGTGTCTGTGTCTCTGTGTCTGTCTGTGTCTCTGTGTCTCTGTGTCTGTCCTGTGTCTCTGTGTCTGTCTGTGTCTCTGTGTCTGTCTGTGTCTGTGTCTGTGTCTCTGTGTCTGTCTGTGTTCTGTGTGTCTGTCTGTGTCTCTGTGTCTGTCCTGTGTCTCTGTGTCTGTCTGTGTCTCTGTGTCTGTCTGTGTCTCTGTGTCTGTCTGTGTCTCTGTGTCTGTTCTGTGTCTCTGTGTCTGTCTGTGTCTCTTGTGTCTGTCTGTGTCTCTGTGTCTGTCTGTGTCTCTGTGTCTGTCTGTGTGTCTCTGTGTGTGTCTGTGTCTCTGTATGTCTGTGTCTCTGTATGTCTCTCTCTGTGTCATATTTCATGTTTAACATTTGTTCTCTCTCCTCCCCCCCAATCCCCCAGCCTGGTGCATGTGGTGGGCGAGAGCGCCGCGCCCATGCCAGCGCGTGAGGCTCGTCGTGGACGCCTTCCATCTCCTGCGAGGCGTGGGCGGAGTCTGCCACTGGGACATGTTCGAGGTCCGGCTGCGGGATCCCTTGGAGGCGGGCGGCGCGTGAGTAGAGGGCGTGAGTGGGGCGGGAGGGGGGCGAAAGGGGGGCGGGAGGGATTGGGGATTAGAGAGGGAGGAGTAGGAATTTGGAGGGAGGGATGCGAGTTGGGAATTAGGAATTAGGGAGGGATGTGTTGGGAATTTAGGATTAGGGGGTTAGGAATTAGTGGTTGGGGATTGGGAAGGGATAAGTTAGGAATTAGGGATTGGGGATGGAGGATTAGGAATGAGGGATTGATGAGGGCGAGTCAGGAATGAGGGATTGGGGAGGAGGATTAGGAATGAGGGATTGATGAGGGCGAGTTGGGAATGAGTGGGAATTGGGGAGTGAGGAGAAAGAAATTAGGGGATGAGTGAGTGGGGAGTGGGGAGTGGAAAACACTGAGTGAGGACTCAGAGTATGGTTAATCTAATCCAGTAGTACAGATTTGAAAAGGGGTTTTCTGTTAATCCCCAAAAAGTAGTTATGTTATATTGTATAAAGAAAAGGTATTCCTGATTTTTAAGCGTAGTTTTAGAGATTTTTAAAACTTGTCATTTTTTTCTATTTATGTCTCCTATATCGTGTCCTTTTTCTCCGTCTTTTCCTTCTCCGTTTCTCCCACTCTTCCTCTTTCCCCTTCTCCTACTCTTTTGCCTTTTTCCTTTCCCCTTTCGTCTGTTCCATTCTCCCTTTCCTCCTCCCCGCCCTATCCCTCTTTCCCTTTCTCAATAAATTTCGTCCTTTCCCTCCCCTCCTCTCCTTTCTCAATTTCGTCCTTCCCTCACCTCCCTCAATTTCGTCCTTTCCCTCACCTCCCTCTCCTTTCTCAATTTCGTCCTTTCCCTCACCTCCTCTCCTCTCTCCCTTTCTCAATTTCGTCCTTTCCCTCACCTCCCTCTCCCTCTTTCAATTTCGTCCTTTCCCTCACCTCCTCTCCTCTCTCTTCTCAATTTCGTCCTTTCCCTCACCTCCCTCTCCCTCTCTCCCTTTCTCAATTTCGTCCTTTCCCTCACCTCCCTCTCCCTCTCTCAATTTCCCTTTCCCTCACCTCCCTCTCCCTCTCTCCCTTTCTCAATTTCGTCCTTTCCCTCACCTCCCTCTCCCTTTCTCAATTTCGTCCTTTCCCTCACCTCCCTCTCCCTCTCTCTTTCTCAATTTCGTCCTTTCCCTCACCTCCCTCTCCCTCTTTTCAATTTCCGTCCTTTCCCCTCACCTCCCTCTCCCTCTCTCCTTTCTCAATTTCGTCCTTTCCCTCACCTCCCTCTCCTCTCTCGTCCTTTCCCTCACCTCCCTCTCCCTCTCTCCTTTCTCAATTTCGTCCTTTCCCTCACCTCCTCTCCCTCTCCCTTTCTCATTTCGTCCTTTCCCTCACCTCCCTCTCCCTTTCTCAATTTCGTCCTTTCTCACCTTCCCTCTCCCCTTTCTCAATTTCGTCCTTTCCCTCACCTCCCTCTCCCTTTCTCAATTTCGTCCTTTCCCTCACCTCCCTCTCCCTTTCTCAATTTCGTCCTTTCCCTCACCTCCCTCTCCCTCTCTCTTTCGTCCGTCTATCTCTTCCGACTTACCTATCTCTCTTCATTTCCTTCTTTCCCTCGTGCTTTAATTCTTCCTTCCTCCCCTCCCTGTCCTCCTCTTTTTCCGTTCCCTTACCCTCCTCCCTCCTTTTCCATTCCCTCTCCCTCCTCCCTTTCTTTCCCTCCCCCACCCCCCCTCTCTCTCTCACTCTCTATTTATTTCTCTCAGCGCCCCAGTCATCATCCTGTCACCATAGTGTACAGACGTGCTGAGTGACCTCTCCTTACAGGATTTGTTACCTTGACAATAAAGGTCTTCACAGACCTGCCAGCTGTGCACTGCTCCAGTGCGCGATAATGTTCACATAATCATTTATTCTGATTGTACAGTGATCTAAGTACCATAAAGTGAAAGAAAAAAGTGAAAAAAAACTACGCACGCTCACAGATGTGCTGCGTGGCCGTCGCGCCCACACAGCTCATCTGTGTTTGCACGGGGAGGTCAGGACGGGCCCTGTATCTTCAGGAAATGACCCCGCCCACAAACGGAACAATGACAGACATGCCCATGGAAACTGAGGGTAGATACGGTGTCCTCCGTGAGGAAGATATCAGTGGCCTCCCCCAGGAACCAATAAAGAAAAAGGCAAAGAGACTACTACCTGACTCTGTGGAAATCACGCCACCTGTACACCTGTGCGCCCATTTTAAAGCCGATACCAAGCTTCGGACACAAGGAGATAAATATCGCTGGGTATCCCAGGCCTTAAAATTAGACCCTTACAACAGGACAAAGGGATCCATTGAACTAAAGATTGGAAGGAACTATGTGTATGTGAGGTGCCAGAACGAACAAATTCTGCCCATATGTCGGTGCAGGTGGTGAAGTGTTAGAAAAGGCGAATGCACAAACGTGATCGTGTTCTATGCCCCGAGGGAAATCGAAACAGAAGAAATGACATCCTAAAATGAATGCGTCGTACATGCCAAACGCTTGAAAGTCAATGGATTGATGACCCAGAGAGTCATTATAACATACGAGGGGGAGGTAATCCCCAAAACTATCGAGATGGCTGAGGGCGTGGCACCCTTCAGGTGTGCCGTCTTTATAGCCCTGACCCCGTTTTGCTCCCATTGTTTAAAGTGGGGACACGGGGCACATGCGTGTCCACGAGAGGCACCGCGGAGCCGATATTCCGCTCTTTCACATGAAAGCTCAGAGTGCGCAGAGAAAATTTCAGAAGGCAAAATCATCCTTCGAAAATATGTAAACTTCCGTCAGGAGCATAATGCCAACTCGCCATTATGCGCCTACTTCCCAAAGGACAGAAAGGCAACACATGAAAGAAAGCAGGCAGCCCCTCCCCCCGAGAAACCACGCCCAGCCCCTCGTCTTAATGACGTAGGGGAATTCCCACACCTGCAGAGGTCAACTCTGACGGCCGCTGCAAACAAAGCCATGGCACCGGCATCACAGCTGCAGCACCCACGACAGCTTGCTGCGGCAGCCCACGACAGCTGCTGCGGCAGACAGCTGCGGCACCCACAGCTGCTGCGGCACCCACGACAGCTGCGGCACCCACGACAGCTGCGGCACCCACGACAGCTGCGGCACCATAGGCAGCTGCGGCACCCACGGCAGCTGCGGCAGGCAGCTGCGGCACCCACGGCAGCTGCTGCGGCACCCACGGCATAAACCCACGGCAGCTGCGGCACCCACGCAGCTGCGGCACCCACGGCAGCTGCTGCGGCACCACGGCAGCTGCGGCACCCACGGCAGCTGCGGTGCGGCACCCACGGCAGCTGCGGCACCCACGGCAGCTTGCGGCACCCCGGCACTTGCGGCACCCACGCTGCGGCACCCACGACAGCTGCGGCACCCACGACAGCTATTTACCCACCAGCAGGACAACCAAAACTCTTCTCTCGATAATCTTCCATTGCCCATATGTAGATGCTCCTTTAAGACAAAACAAATGAAATTGACTATCAGTGCCGAATTTTAGATGAGGCTGATGCGCCATTTACAAGTCATCCGACTCCTTGCACAGGTACAGGTACAGTAAAGAAATCCTCTTCTTGATCTCTTCAACTTAACCTATACTACAGGCATCTTGCCTACTGCTTGGAAACAAACCACCATTATTCCCATCCCAAAACCAGGGTGTCCTGATGAATTTAGACCAATTTCTCTGACATCCTGTCTTTCTAAAACCTGTGAAAGGATCCTCCTCAATCGTCTGCTCCACCAGATCAAAGATCAAAATCACCCATCAGTCTTTGGTTTCCAAAAGGGGAAAGAAACACAAATGTGTTTGGCACAGTACCTCAATGGAAGTAATGCACAGTCTTCTTACTTCATAGATTTCAAGGGAACATTTGACAGAGCCCCCCCCTACTGTAATCCTCCATGAATTAACCATTCTAGGGTAAGCTTCTCCTACGGATAAAGGATTATCTGTCTTTGAGAAGAGCGAAAGTATGTTACCAGGGCACCTACAGTAATTATGGTGAACTTGGGTTAGGAACTCCACAAGGAGGAGTTTTATCCCCTTCATTATTTAACATCCTCATGCACTCTTTGCAAGCTTAATAGTGAGTTAGGAGACCTATGCAGCATCACATCCTATGCTGATGACATTCTCATTCAGGTCTTTGATAGGGGGAATATGGTAGAAAAACCCACAATGCACAAACTAGATTTATTGAAGAAAGTGAGACAACAGTTTCGGAATCGTCCTCGATGGAATCGAGGACGATTCCGAAACTGTTGTCTCACTTTCTTCAATAAATCTAATTTGTGCATTGTGGGTTTTTCTACCATAGTATCAACACGGGAATGTGTTTTTCTATTCTTCAGGGGGGAATATGTTCTTCAGAGATTCAGTAAAAAGTGCATCTCCCTTAGACTCATAATCAACCCTGTCAAGACTAATATATTTCCGGATCTCATAAACTGTCATGCATTCCAAGATTAGTTGGACAAATTATTGCAAAAACTAACACCTCTAAGTATCTTGGTGTTATGGTGATTGCTCCCCACCTCGTGTCCCGCATTTCCCACTTCACTCGGGAAATTGTTCAAAACATCAGGGAATGTTGCCTGGAGCGCTTAAAACCTTTACAATACATAAATAACAGATACGTTGGTGCTTCGCTGAGAGTCCTAAGGTTGATGTACATTTCCCTTGTTACGTCCATGATAGACTATGCGAGCCCCGTTCTCAGTATGTTGCCTCAAAATGCTCTCAAACCCCTTGAAGTTTTACAGAATAAGGCCATGAGAGTCAGTTTGGGTTGCCCAATGACGCTAAAGTTCTTGTCACGAGGAAAGAGGTTGAACTCCCGTCATTCCAATCGTATTACTCAAGTTAACACCATACTCGGCATCAGACTTCTGCAGATTCAGTTCAAACCACAAATTTCCCTTGCATTGTTTAGTGAGATTAATAGTATAACTAGGCATGTCCGGCGGCCTCGATACTCCAATCTCATAAAGTCTAACTTAGAATGGAAGGCCAAAACTGCTCAGACTATTCTCAGCTTCAGTGTGTGAACAATGATTTTACCATCCCATAAGTAACACTTACTTCACCATGGCATAGATCCCATGTTAATGTTCATATTGATAAATAGCAGGGCCAAAATCTGACTTTTAATAACAGAGTTGAAAGGCCATTACTTGAAATATATTGATGAAATTCTCCACCCCCTCATGGTGCCCCCTCCCCCCCACTTGCAATCTGTGATGCTTTTACTGATCCTCAGGGAGCAGCAGGAATTGGTGTACTAATTCCGGACATTGCTCTCCAAGAAAATGTGCGAATTTCCAACTGGACGAGCACAACTGATGCCGTCAGTAGCAATATACCATGCCAAGTAGTGAACATCAGCAACACCTAGCTGTCTTCTCTGACAGCCAGGGTGCACTCTATACTTACAACATTTAGTCCAGAAAACATGGTAACTATCAATACCCTTCACCAAATTGCTAGTCTCTCAGAGCAGGGTATACAAGTGTCACTATATTGGATACCTTCTCATATAGGAATATCAACCTGTGACAAGGTAGATGAGTTAGCAAAATAAGCACTTTCTCATGAACCATATTATGCAATACCGTTATCTGTCAGTCAAATGAAAAAAAGTGTTATCAGCTGTCTTCAAGAACATGAGGGCCAGGTATGGACCACCGAAGAATTGAAGAAAAGTGGACAGGGTACCATCTGGCATTATGAAAGTATAGCCGGGTCATGTGATGCTAACAAACCATACAAAGTCTATGATGGACTTTCTCGGAGACAGTAGGTTACGCTAACCAGGCTACGTATAGGATATCAATACACTATTCATTAAGAATAGGATGCAGTTTTGGAGGGCAAAGCCAGTTACATATCACCAATGCAAAATGTGTAAGGCGCCCAAGTCGCATAAGCTTACACATTACTTACTTTGCTATTTGATCGATAGGATGCAGTTTTTGAACATCCTATCGAGACCAGTACTTATTGAGTATATTAATTTTATCATAGACACTGGTCTTGTCTTCGATATGATTGGGGATACTTTTTTTTTTTTTAATTATTTACCAACTAGATGACGTGTTTAATATAAGCATGAAAGTCCTTCAGGCATCTATTACTAATGTTTGACAAATAGCCCTTTACATAAGTATAAGCATAGGCAGTTTGAATAGATGCTGTAACATCTTACCCTGGCTTTTTATAGGGCATGTACACTGTTCTTTAAAATCTTATCAAATCAAATCAAATCAAATCTCAGCGCCCCAACCCAACCTCCTCCCTCCCTCCTTCCCCAGGTACTGCGGCGCCGACCTGTCTCCCGGCCAAGAGCTCATCTCCGAAGGCCGCGACATGTTCATCGTCTTCCGCGGGAAATATGGCTACGTAAAGGGGTTTTCGGCTCGGCTGGACTTCGTCGAGGGAAGAGGACGGAGCGGAGGATGCGAGGAATCGACAGGGGAAATGGGAGAGGAAGAAGGCGAAGCAGGAGAACGAAGAGGAGGGAGAGAAAGAGTAGGAGGAAGTGGCGACGTTGATGGCGGGAATTCGCTGTTATGATGAGTAACGTGAGCATTTATTTTCTTAGAGTAATTGATAGGCGTAGGAAAAGGGAGGGCGAGAGCAGGGCGTAGAAAAAGGGAGGGTGAGGGGGGGGGGCAAGTGGGCGACCGCTTCTGCACTTTAGAATGGAGCGGGAAGGGACCCATCTTCTGCCCCCCCCCCCTCTTGCTCAGCTTTCGAGAAATTCCCTGTACGCAGTGAGTGCATTCGATAGTAAACAAATTCTAGAGAACACTGATGACCTGTTACAGAGAGGGCAGCTACAACTGAGTCTAATTTTTCAAAATCAAATAACCATTATGTCAAATATTGTCCAAGTATATATATCGGACATTTTAGTGCAGGAATTGTTGAGTTTATCTATGTAAAACTGCTATAATCCAGGCACTTCCGGGAGATTCCCCCCCCCTGTTCTCCCACTTCGAAATACCTTTCTACGCTTATTGATTTGTTTTGTTGGTGATGATTTATTAATTTCTTGTTTTTTACATATTAGTAATTTGTTTGGCCTTTTTTATTGACATCTTTCTTCATTTCAGTGATTTACACTCTGTTTTGTGTGTTATTAGTTTCTTTCTAGTCCAATTTGTTTTTAAACTGTATTTAATTCTTTACTTTTATTTTTTCATGTCTTTCAATTGATCTCATTGTTTTCATTTTTTGTGTATAAGATACTGTATATAGCTGCATTAAAATAGTTTCTCGGCCAAAAAAAAAAAAAAAAAATTGATTGCTCGCTTCAAATGTTCAAAATCGAGGTATGATTCTTATTTTCAAACTCGTTTCGTTCACAGATCGGAAATCGACGAATTCACTTCCTGCAAGGAGTTTCCCGTCGATGTTGAACAGAAGCTTTGCAGTGTTGGAACTTGGTTGGTATTTGCAATTGGCAATAAGAATGATTATGATGGTTCATCGTGATGAGTGGAAACTACAGAAGTACTGCAAATAAATGCTGATATTGAATGATTCAGTAATTTTAATTTTCCCATATGCGATCACACAAGTGGTTAATGTCCCTTCGTTTTTTTTTCTTACTTAATCTGTGGCAAATAAAGGATATCATACTATAATGCACATTTGCACAAACTGTTTCACGTTAAGGAAATTATTTTTTCAAGATTTGTATCGAATAAACATGTCTGATGTGTAATTTTATTACATTTTTTGGGTAAACAGTGTATGGACTTTGTTCTCGAAATACTAATTTTTATTTATTTTGTGTGCAACTCGGGCAAAGTGTTTAGTTGTCCTTTCTCTCCTTCAAGTAGATAGCGGTTTTCAATAACTTGTGCTTTGCGAAATTGTAATTCCATAATACACTTGATTTCCTTGATCAGCATCTGGGAGAAGCTGACTTGGCATAATTTTACTTACTGATTTATACTTGTACTGTTTGTAAGAATTGCATTTATAGGATCACAAAAAAATTACCCGTTTCAAAACCATCCAGAGGTTGTGATTATAGTGTATGACAAGATCAATAACAGAACAGTAAGCTATGGAGAGCGAGGGAGGAAGGCATAATGCTCGATGGTAAAAAAACAGATGTCAGACATCAAAGGTCATGTACTACTGCAAGAAAGTACTGTAACCAAAGAGGTGGTGGGGAGTTAATGATTAAATGCGACACGCCGTAAGTCTTTCAGCACTTTCGGATAATGTGGTACTGAAAAGGGGTAAAGAGGGCGAGTAAATGGGGGATAAAGGCGGGGATTAGCAAAAGGGAAAGGGGATTAAAGGCGATTAGATCAAATGGAGGATACAGAAACCGCGAACCTTCTAGAAGAGCTATTAACTAACAATCAGCGAGTGATAAGGGTAAAAATTGGCGTCTCTGCGGAGAGGTGAGAGGGGAAATACCCGGGGAATGAGACACGAGATAAGGAGAAGTATCAGGAAGAGGGGAGGGGATGAACATGCCTAAAGAGCTCGTGGAACATTTACAGACGAGCCGAGTCGATAGAATGTTTTCCAACCTTACTACAAAAGATACAGGTTATCAAACATCAGAGGCAGGGTGTTGAAAATGTAAATTGTTTGGGGTCAGTTGCAAGTGCATTGGTCTTTTGTATTCCAAGAGCAACGCGGGGGGGGGGGTCTTTGGAGACGGAGACTGAGACCTAATGCTAGGGCTCCACCTTACCTTAGGCCTTAACCCTCGACTCGACTATTTAGCACGGTCTCATCTTCCTCTTTCCTTTTCCTTCACTTCTTCAACCCGTTTTACTATCCACTGCCTAAGATATAAGAGCCGTATAGAAAGGATGAAAGGTTGACTTTTGTGCCAGCCATGAACGACCTGGGGGAGCCATGGGCATGGTAATCCCCTGTTTAGTTGTAAAGCCCTTGCCCCTTAAGGGTACCTGAGCGGTGGTCTGTTTCTCTCCCCAACTTACTCCAGGCACACCATGTCCAGCAGTGAAGATTTTTCCCCCTTCCCACAAATTAAAATTCTCCCGATTCCAGGCTTTCCTTTGACCACGACTCCGGACACTGCTACTACTGCCCCTCCTTATACTTCAGTCCAGTCCAACTCCTCCCACCCAGGTCCTTGCCCTTCTTCCAGAAAACATTTCCTTCTCTCCTAATATCCTCTACCTCATCTACTACCCCCTCCCTTAATATTACTGTACATTATTGCCTACTTCTCCGCAGTACTACCTCTCTGAACGCTACTCCCTCTTACACACGTCCCCGTCCAACTGGTTCTACCTCTACAAACCTTTCGAATATTCCAGTAATGGCTCTTAAATAAATAGTCGGCAAAGTTTCCTTCCGCATCCACCCCGATCGTTACCACGTCGTCACAGGTACATCCAAATCCCAATGGTTAATGGTTAAGATAAATGTGCTGTCATATAGGGAAGGTATAGTAAAGGGGGATGTCAGGTGATAGTTGCTATATGTCAACTATCTAGAATAGTGTTGAAAAGTTGAAGATGAGGGAAAATATTATGGTGGTTTAGGTAAGGGAGTTAGATCAAGTGAAGGATATTTATGCTAATGCTTATCAACCCTGACTGACTTCACTGCCAAGCCCATTCCTGCCCAGCCTTATCCCTTTCTCAATACTTATCCGGAACGCTCTCCGTCTCTCCGAAAAGGACTGGTCAGATGGTGGAGTCTTACTTGCCAGCCGCGTGGACATGATCCAGTATCAGTACAGTGCTACACCATTTCCTCAAGAGGTCGCAGTAAGCCCTCCAATACTGCCAAGATTACTTTCCGTAGACATGGCCTACCCTTGAGGTTTATATTGGCGGAGAGTCGCTCCCTGTCCGACCACGTCAACCTAACCCCGTCAATGTCAGAATTCAAACTTGGCTTTATTTTACAGACAGGAAGAACACAGACGAGGTTCTTACTCCCTACTCCAATACTGTCCTTTGCTCTCCACTCTCCCCCTTCTCCTATAGCTCCCCAAGTATCTCTTCCTCATCCCACTCCCAGTCAAATGATTTTGCCATTCTACGTCCAGACACCCCAATTTCCACCACTATTCCATACACTTCAATCTCTACTGCTCCTCTTCCCCCTCGCTCAACTCGTCGCACAAGACAAGCTAACCCCATCTCTTACCGCATTCTCTCCCTCAAATGTCTGTACGTCTCCTCCTCAGAAGTAAACCTTGGCTTCTCAGACCTCCCCAGCCAACTTAACAATTCAGAAACTCTCGGAAAACCTTAAAAACTACATAATCATGATCCTAAATAATTTGTCTACACCACCTCCATCTTCCTATCTCTGCTCCCATTCCCTCTACACTCAAGAGTAACTGCCGACATCCATCATCTTGTTCACCAAAACCCTTTCCTTTCACTCCCTCTCGTCATATCCCCCCCACGAGCAAAGGATAGAGGAGGCGGCGTACTCTTTGGATATTTCTCTTATTTTAACAATGAATTTCGTAAGGAAGTCCTCAAGAATCTTTTCTGGGGATGGTTACAACGTAAAATAAAAGTGCTACACATCAAAGATCATATGGAATGTGGAATGTCAGACCAGGTAATATTAAAGTAATTCCTCAACCCAGTAATTTACAAGTGCGCAAAATATGAACCCATTATCTTGGAAGATTGACCTCAGCAAGAAAATGTTTTACATATAAAAATCCTTTATATTTACAAACTACATTCAATAAAAAAAGTAAAGCAAGAGAAAACGATCCCTCCACAGCTGCTCTTACTTATCTATCTCCTTGGCTCAATTTTTTTTCTCTCTCCATGTCTCTGTTCTGTTTTTGACCATGATTTTCCTAACTAATAAACAGCACAAGGATAAAATGGGCTTGTGAACAAAAAGAATGTTTGTGTAACCTTATAAATACCGCTTTCTCTTTCGTTTCAATATCAGCATTACCACTTTCTGATTTCTAGTATTGTATCATAAATATATATTTATATAAATGAATAAAAGAAGGATTTCAGTTTTTACTTTATGTACATAAAATTGTTCCTAAAACACATCGTTCAGTGTAATACAGTGACTCGATTCTCCTTTTAACAATATCTTTAACAATAAGGTCACAGCAGTACCTTGAGATCGAGGCATACACGTGTGTAAATATAAGGGCAGCTGTGAACAAGTAGCAGTCATATCATCCTTAAAAAAAATGCTTATTTTATTTTCACCTTCTCTTTCCCTTCATTTTTATAGTGCTTAACATTCAAGAAAAAATACTGATACTGTGATTGTGCATGATGTTATAAATCAGCTTAAGGGAGGTGTGTGGGATGAACAAGGGGGAGTGAGGTATGAGAAGAAAAAAGAAAAACTATAAACACTGAGTAGGTAACATATGATGAAAGCTTATGTAAAAATAATAATAATAAATAAATAAATAAAAATAAAGGAAACAATCACTGAAATAATAAAAAAAATGCAATTCTCTATCCAGATGACGTCTTGACAAAAAGCAAATTTAGTACCAAATCCTCACTAACATATCTGACTAGACATGAAATAAAGTTACATTAGCTAAGTGACACGAAAAGTAGAAAGATGGAAGGGACGAGGAAGAGTGGAGTATAAAGATGAGATGAGGAATTGAAGGAGTGCTGGAGGCAAAGCGGGAGAAAAGCCAAAATGGATAACCAACTACATGTAAAACTTACCTGGAAATAAAAAAAAAAATCCCTTAAATATATATAATGTGCATGAGTAAATTCAATTTAGAAAAAAAAAAAAAAAGCCAACAATCTCTCTTTTCCATCTTCTCAGCACTGCATCATTAGTATTTAACCTCGTCCTTAGTCTCACTACAGAAACATAACATTATTAAGACTACAAGTACATTACTACCTAATATAAATAATAAAAACAAGAACCTTCACTTCACTTTTTACTGAATTTTTACTTTTTTACATTAATTTTCACATTTCTTTCTTCTGAGGATTGTAACAAGCCGTCTTTTATATGGTTGATGGTTTTACTTGCTCTTCGGTAATGTACACATAAAGACTAAGGCATCATTATATAATACAAACCAACATGGTAAGAAAACAAATCTTTCAGGAAAAGTATGTGTGTGTCATTTTACATATACATATACATTATTTATATCAATAAAGTATATATATACTACATAAACAAACACATACACAAAAATAAGATGCTTAAATGCTGTCTTACTGGTACATTTCTATTTTATTTTACTTTTTCTTCATATCACATGCAAGTAATGCTTGCACATTTAAAACAATGTAAATGTCTATATCATTAACAAAAGAAATGAGAGGAAATGAAGGGGAAAATATACAAAACAGGGAGGAGGGAAAAAAGGAAACGGTACGTTTTTGTTTTGTTTTCATAATTAACAATCTTATAAAAGAAAAGATAATTATAACTCACTCGTCTGAACGCAAACCCAAGAAAAAAATCACCAGCGACGAGTCCCTTAAAATGCCTATATATATATTAAGTTTGTTGACTTCAGTTGTGATCAGCCATATGATGGCCAAGGATATATAAGTCGCAGGTTTACATTTTGTAAACAACTCTTAAAAAAGAGAAAAAAAGGAAAAAAAGAGAGAGAATGAGAGAGAGATAAAATAAAAAGACAATGCAGGGGCATATAATTTGCTAAAGGGAGTGGGTAGTGGTGAGGGAGGAAGAGGACGAGGGTAAACTTTGCAGTCAAAACCTCTTGTCTTGCTCTGAACCCCTTTGAATGTTCTTTCACTGGTTTCAGTTCACACCACAAGGACTCTTTTCCGATGGTAAAATAAGAGAACAGGGAAAAAGAGAGAGAGTGCACGTGTGTGAATGTACAGGCATGTATGTTTTGCAGATGTGTGCAGATGCAGCACGTGGATAAATATGTGTGTGTCAATGGGCATGAGTGGAGAAGTGCACCGAATTAAAAGTACATCAACTTGGTATATATAAACACAAGTGGGGGTAAAGGTCACAAAATGTCACAGTGAAGGTGGAAGCAGCAAGAATCTGTCCTTGAAATTACCAGTTACTTTACTATTATGATCAATCTATACACATTACAATTATCCCTATCCCTTTTTCTGTTCAGAAGGGTCCTACTGCCTGATAAAAATTAGGTGACAAAATATGACATACTTCTTTTCCATCAGGAGCTTGGAACCTGTATTAATCTTCTAACGAGAAACGTATCCTCAACTTAATTGTCATTTCTGGTCATCATCCTCCTTTTTTTTTATTTTTATTATTTTTTTTTTATTTATGGTTTTATATATATTTTTTTGTTTATTTTTGCTTTGTTTCCTTAAAGGCTACAATAATCTTATATAAAAATGTAGAGTATATATCTGCAATTCCAGTAATTTACTACTATACAGTCAAGCCTAGTGATAAAGAGATCGTGACCCAAGGAGAACTGCTCTGAGAAAAAAAGAAAAAAAAAATCATAGAATAACCCCCTTTAATAAAAATTATATATATATATAAGTTAAGTAAAGTAAAAGATAGAAGAAGAAAAAAAAAAGCAGTGATTATGATGGTAGCAATGATGACAATGATGTTTAATTATAACAAAAAAATTAAAAAGAAAGGGGGTATATCTTAAAGAAATAAGGGGGAGAGAGAGAAAATAAGTCCACTGTGCATCTTCCTCTCAACTTATTAACTACCACTTGGATACTCTTTCCTTTTCTTCTTCTCTGTCTCCTTCTACTACTTCTTGGAGAGGGGGAAAAGACTTTTTCTTCTTCTCTCCTTTCCCTCCTCTGTACATCCTCACAGTGTACGTGCAAAACACCCGGGGGTCCCGTCTCTTTGTCAAATCACAGGAGTCTTTTTTCTTTTTTTTTAAAGGGCTCTAAGAGGGAAGGGGCAGCAGGGGGTGGGTTGGGTGAAGGAAAAGTGAAGTGTTGCCAGAGGGGATCAAAGGGGAGGGGAGGAGGATAGGGGGACAAAATGGTGCGCCACCCTAAAAGGACTCTCTCGAAGCTTCCAGGACTGCACGAACATACAAACACAGACATGTTGATGCATGGGATGTGTCTGTGGTCATGAGGGAGGGGTTATGGAAGGCTACAGGGGGGAGGGCTAGGGGGTATGGGGCATAGGATAGCCCCTTAGAGACTCCTCATCGCTCTTCAATGTTCAGGGTCTCTTGTGGGTACAGTTTGTAGTCCATCAAGGTTTTGGATGTGTCGAGAGAGCTCACCTGCAAAAAAAGAAAGGAGAAGAGCGAGTTTAGGATCAACCAGAGCAGTGCATTTTATTCAATTGTCAATCAACTCTATTATTAAATGATTCAGCAAAACCCTGACTGCGACAATTACTGCAAAGCAATATATCTAATTACATGTTTGTAATAAAACTCTGCTATGTATATCAAGTTACAAACTGCAATCAATTCTCCCTTCTATTGATTGTAATTAAGTAAATATTCAATGCAAGTAATCTAATTCAAAAAGAAAAGGAGTAGCAGTAATTAACTGTATAAAATTAGCTTTAGATATTAAATGGAGAGGCTTAAGAAGAAGAAGAAACAGAAGATGATGGAGGAGTGGGGTGAGGGAGAGAAGAAGAAGGGGAAGAATGAGATGGGGGTGAAGGAGAGTAGGGAGAAGGAAGAAGAGGTAAAAGGGGAAAAGAGGAGGAAAAGGGGATTTGGGAAGGAAGAGGAGGAAGTAGAGGGGGTTGGGGAAGGAGGTAGAAAGTGGGGTTGGGGATGGGAGGAGGGAAAAAAGAGAAGGGGTGGGGGAAGAAGAAGGAGGGGGCAAGAGGAGGAGGAGATCAAGGAAGAGGAAGAGGGAGGGAGGAGGAGGAGGAGGAGGAGGAGGAAGAGAAAGAGAAAGAGAAGGAGGAGGAGGAGGAGGAGGAGGGAGGAGGAGGAAGGAGAAGGAGAGCAGGAGGAGCAGAGAGAGAAGAAGAAGGAGAAGAAGAAGGAGAAGGAGGAGGAGGAGGAGAAAAAGAAGAAGAAGAAGAAGAAGAAGAAGAAGGAGGAGAAGGATGAGGATGAGAAGGAGGATGAGGATGAGGAGAAGATGACTGAGGATGAGGATGAGGATGAGAAGAGGAAACGAGGAGGGAGAAAGAGGATAAGGATGAGAGGGGGAAATGAGGATGAGCATGAGGGGAAAGATAACAAGGATGAGGATGAGGAGAAGAGGACAAGAAGGAGGAGAAGGAGGAGAGGGAAAGAAGAGAAAAAGAGGAGTGGGAAAGAGGAACAGAGGTGACAAAGAAAAAGAATAAGAAGCAGGAGGAGGAGAAGGAGGAGTAAGAGATAGAGAAGAAGGTGGTAGAGGTAGAGAGCAACAAATACTTAAAATGAAACAAAACGTACATCTCTGCGGGGCCAAGACTGAAGACACTTGTATTCATCTGCTGGATATCCTTTGACATGCAGAAAGTTGAGCAGAACCTATGGTTGCAAAGAAAAGAAATATCTTTTATTGATATTTCTCTTTGAAATTATTTTGAAGAGTTGAACATACAACTTTATCATTTAAGAAAAAAAGTCCATATTTCCTCACTGTACAATTTTTCAACACAAACATTTCTCTATAAAATTGTTCTAAACTTTATCGGCTGATGCCCATGAAATCCTGTGCTGACCTGGAGAGTGGTGTTTGCAAGGAAGTTGCGGTGGAAGGTCTCTCCTCCGGGTATCCGAAATCTAAGGGTCGATACTGGTTCTTTGCAGTCTGGCCCAGGCTCATCAGGGAGATCTGTCTCTAATGATGCTCTTACCGCCTGTTTGGAAGAAGGGCATTTATTTTGTCTTTTAATTGTCAAGTCTGATGGTGATGGATGGGAAAAGAAAACCAAATGACAGAAAAAGAAAAGTTATAAAATACATAATTTCTCTTCAAACTCTAGAAAAAATCCTGCCTTCATCTATATATATTTGTCTCTCTTAAACTATGACACTGACCTGCTTAATTGCTTCTTCCTGCTGTTTGATGGACTCCACTCTCTCTCTCTCTTGCTTCTCTTCACATCTCTGCTTGTTTCTTTGCAGCCGCCTACAGAAATATTTTTTTTTTTACATAATTACAATCAAATGAAAATATTGCCATTTCTCTTCTAGCACCAAGAAGTTAACTAAAGGCAAAAATCCTAAACTGTCCACTAAAACTATCCTTCATCCCTCTGCAGTATCTTCAAACCTCATACACAAACCTCTGAAAGTTTTCCCCCAAAAAGCTGGAAGACCCTTCAAACATTCCTCCCCTCCCCCTCTCCTACACCCCAGTTCTTCTAAGTCTTATACTCCTATCCACCCACTTTTGCTCTGTCAGCCGCCAGAGATTCTAAGTATGCTGCATCTTGCTCTGCCTTGACTGCCTCCCTGGCTTCCCGTGCCTCCTCCTCTTGCACTTCTGTCACTCTTTGCTCCTCAAACATTTCCATTGCATGGAGTAATGCCGTCATGACCTCATCTAGGACTGCATTGCCTGTTAGTGGTGAAGGTGAAAAATCAAACATTAAAAGGTTAAAAAAAAAATCAGTGTTAAGCTTACAAGCAAAAGAAATCTATAGTATCTCATACAATGCACACTGTAAATCATGAATCCCTCTTTTCACCAACACATTTTAAACAAATACCACAGACTTGAAACAAAAAACATCTACATATAGAGAAAACAAAGTGGTAATAAATATAAATAACTTCTCTTTATTTCACAAAACTTACCATGTATGACTGAGAGAACCTCAATGGTTCCTCTCGTGCGTGTGATGACGAGCAGTGCTGGGAGCTTGTCCACACTGAAAGTCCTTACGGTGGTAGAGGCCATAGAGCCAAAGTGTGTGGTTACCAAGTTCAATAACCTGTGGGAAGGATAAAATAAGGGCAAACATGATAAAAAAAACTGTGACTGCTCTTATGTGTTATTTTTTAAAAACTCATAGCATTCAGTTTTCTGTAATACAATCTGTGTCACTAGTCATGGTGGGTAAGAACAGGATCCTGAGCATGGACATAGTGTCCTCCCTGAAGCCAGTGCTCTTCCAGAAATGGCTTATGGATGGTATATTCCACACTTGTTTATTGACAGAAATAATACAAAACCCCTTCCTTAATGCCCATTGAGTCTAATCCCCCTCCAAGAGCCTTGTGCTGGGCATTGCCCCCTAGTTGGACCTAGGTAGCCTACTACTTTGAAAACTTTCGAACAGCCTGCTTATTGGTACCAGATAAATTCCTAGCTTGATAACCTTAGGGTGGAAATGAATTTATTTGGCCAACTGTACATATATCCCATGAGCACTTTGACTTTAGTGTGTTAATTTTGCATACAAACAGATGGCTGTGCAAATGATTAAGCCCTTGGATCCAGGGGGATGTAACCACCACATAATGTAAAATGTAACTTCAGGGCCGAGTGACGTGAACATGCCATCATGGAAAAATTTGGCCATACACGGAAGAACTGCCTTGAATTTGTTCTTATGCAATTTTCCTGTTTGAGATTATTTGGCTTTGAAAATAACAAGTAAAGATTCCAGGACTCTTTTCATAAATCATAAAATATCAGTTGAGCCATCTCCTAAATTTTTATTGTTGTATTTTATTAAAAAATACAAATACTGATACAATGAAAATAAAAGTGGAGATGCCTCTTCATAACATTCATATATTATGAATTTGTAAAATTACCAATATGATATAAGCAATATATTTTGCAATATCTACCTTGTCTGCTTATTACAATAAATTATCGAAAAAGGGTATATAACAATATAAATGTTTCTTGAAATTAGCAGCATTAAATTTGAGATGTGGCAATGGAACAATCATAGACAAAATCACAAAGAAAAGCCAAAAGATTTTTCATAAATACTGCCCCAGGTGAGATCAGTTAGGCCTACTAATTTTGTGACTTGTAAAGCCATTTATGTGTAAACAAAATTCAAAAGAAAAAAAAATACAGTGGATAGCGCACATGCCCACCAGCAGTGGGTTAAGAGGGATACTAAACTTTTACTGAAGAATCTCATTCTGACAGATGTTCAGTTAGTGTTGACTAATATGGATGCCTTATGTCAAAGCAAGTACCATTGTTTGTTTTGAGTGTGTCTTTAGGGAAACCTCATCTACACTTATTCCTTCTATCATGATGCTATATAAATCAGGATATTTCAACGTGAATAATACATTTACCCGCACGGCAACTAAGACTTGCTTTCCTGCTTGGTCAGAATCTAATTTGTAGGGTACCAAATCCCTATACTTACCTGGCTTTGTTAGCTTCATGTGTGAGATCCCAACCCCAAACCACAAAGTTTGCTGAGAGGTAGTCCACTGTGGAGAGCTGACAGAGAGCTTGTGAGCAGAAAACGTTGGACAAGACGCTGCCATCATGATGTAAATATACAGCCAACAACTTTCTCTGTTAAAAGGTAGGAGAGATGATTTATTGGTTAATTAATATATTTTCAATATTTTTTCTACATAATCTTGAATATATACAAAATCATGCAATGCCTTCTACCTCCTGAAAATGTTCTAGTACAATTCCATAAAATATCAATTTACATGGCACATTAGTATATGTATAAATAAATAGGTTATGCAATTCCCAACTGCAGCAATTAAACCAAGTTGCTAATGCATTGTAAATACAATCCATTTGAGTATAAAGGAGCATTATAGACACTATAACACATCTTTCGACATTCCAGATGCCTACATTTTTTGCTGGCAGCTGAACAGACTCCTTGAGCGCATCTTCTAGGGATCCCTGGTAAAACATGGGCACACAATTGCCATAACGGTTGCGGAACTCCTCTGAGAAGTGTATTACACCCATCACCTCATCCTCTATATCGGCGGGGACTGAAGACGAAATAAGGAGAAACAAACTCTTCATTACTTTTACTTTTATAAAGGCTTATGTCTATGAACATATGAATAATAAGAATGTATTTCAACTTATCTAATTGTAAGTGCTTACATAGCCTTAAAATAAAAACATTTCCCTCTCTCTACTGATCTTTTCAAAATCTATCCTTATACACCCTCAATCTATCCTTTTATCAAATACTCACTTAGCGTCTGTGGCTTCTTGGACGAGGGCACATCTACATCCATCATCCCAAAGAAGTCGTCGTCATCATTGAGAAGCTCCGGAGTGTCTTCAAATTCTTCACCGGAGGCATTATCATCCTCCGTATCCACCAGTGTCTTATGGGGTCAAGGCATATTTGTTAAACAAAATGCAGGTACAGCTTCTACTAACTTACTCTAGAGTATGTACTGTGGAGCTTTAGATGTCAACCAAGCTGATGCTGGAACCAGACTGACCCCTGCTCTGACTTTCGAACTGATTACAAGGCCTTTTAATACAGTACTGAATGAAATATTTCTGAACTTTAATTAATAAAAAATATTAATCTTCAGCAAAAATGTTCAAAGGCCTTTTGAGCAAAGTGTATGCATATCATAAAGCTAATATGGTCATATGATGCAATATATTGGCACATGCTGACTGTGGGCATCAGAAATGTTAACGCAAATAAAGAACTTCATGTTGGTAAAATAGTCATGAACATAATGATAACTGATATGTTAATAAAACTAATGATTGCAGAAGTGGTGATATCATACAATTTCTAAATAACATTTAGAGTACAACTAACATATGAATTCATATGTAGCTAAAATCAAAATACAACAAAAATACATAGGAATTCTTGCAACAGTGAGAGTCAATTTTGCAAACTTTCAGGCAGTATTGTTTGATACAGCGGATCCATATTTTAAGGGAAAGGTATAAGTCTTTTTAAAAAATCTGTGGAGAATTAGTCAGTCTGTACTGAAGGGGAAGTAGCAAGGAGGAGGAGGAGGGGAAGACAAAATAAAAAACTGAGGCTTGCATAAATCTATATATATATATAACTTGCATCCCCCAAACAATGTTCAAGAGAGATGAAAGAGTAGGGGGAAAAGAAGGATTGACATGTTGCCATGAAGATATGTTACCTTTCTCTGGGCTCGTGGTGTACGTTCCCGAACAAGTTTCCGCACTGTTAAGTGGTGCTGTTTGCTAATCCCTGATGAATTTAAAGTGGCCTGTAAGAAACAGAAACAAATAAATATAAAATGAGGGTAAAAGGAGATAAAAAGGACAAAAATGTTTTGTAAATCTAGTATACTATAAATCACTTTCATATTATATCTTTCAGTCATTTGCTTTTTCACTAACTATAAATTATATAAACTAATGCAGCCAGTTCTTCATTTACAATACTACTGACACACTCTTCACAGTAATGCAACTTTGTAGATGTATATTTTCTAGCATATATGTGTAGAAGTCTATCAAAAATTCAAGCACTCTCATGAATGATCTTTGAAAAAAAGTAAGAAATCATCTACATCTTTGTATACAGACACAGAACTCAACCTATAATGCTTCTGAATTTTAGATATCAACTTGCAAAGCCCTCTCACCCTTGTACACAGCAGTCTGTGATACCCTTCAATGATGATTCTTTGTGAATACATTGACTGATCTTTATGCATTTTCTGGCATGACAATGGCAGTGATCACATTGAATAAATAACAACCTACTTAAGTGTCTGGAAGCAAATTTCTTCATCTAGAATAGAAGATAAAACCAAAACCTACATCTCCCTATCTCCCAAACCCTACCTCAAATGAGCAAACATCAAATATTCTCAGTGTCTAGAAGATATACAAAAGAGCACACAGCTTCACCACACCTAATTTGCCAGATCTGACTCCAACATCATCACCCTCCACCTAGAGCCCCTCTCTCTGTTGTGTCTTGAAAAGAGAGAAAGAAACCGCACAGATGCAATCTAACCTTGCTCAATTTGTTAAGCTGTCAATATTGATGGATCCACACAACACACCAGTCCTAAATTTCTATGGTAAAAGTAGATTAGGCTATAGGAATATAAATCAGGATCACATATCGTCCTTATCCTCAACACAAACCACCCATACTCACATTCTCCTCGTCGGTGTTTGGAGGCCAGCCTGTCCACTGCTGGTTGCGCACTGCAATATTAGTCAGGTCGTGGATGTCGCCCTTGATCTCACGGATGCGACGACTGCCTGGGAACTTGAGGTTGTAATTCTTGCCATTGGTTTCATCGTGGATGAGGAGGAGGTACTCATCGCTGTGCGCGCCATTAACTCTGGAAGCAGAGAGGTAATGTGCTAAGAATGGATTTTGAGTCTTCATAATAACCAGTGTATATAACTTATTCATCACTCAGGAATCATTTTACTAATATTATTTCTTACTAATCAATACTCATTTTTTATTCTAATTATTAGTTAAGGACTAAAATTGGCATACAATTATGAAGTTATTTCTATTATTTCTCTTTCCCTCAACATCTTATGACAGCAGTGTTTAACATGTTGCAGTAAGCTCAAGTGCATTCTAATACAATCAAGCAGATAAAGGGTGAAATAAACAAAACAAGATAAGGAAACGACAAAATAGAGAAGGAGGAGATAGAGGAGGAGGATGCATGGTTGAAGGAATAGAATGAGGTGGAGGAGGCAGAATAGGAGAGGAGGAGGAGGAGGAGGAGGAGGAGGAGAAAGAGGAAGTGGAAGTGGAAGCGGAGGAGGAGGAGGATATGGTAGGCTTGAACAAGGAGGAAGAGGTAGGGTTGATCAAGGAATAGGGTAGGAGGAGGAGGAGGAGATGGTAGGCTTGAACAAGGAGGAAAAGGTAGGGTCAAGGAGGAGGAGGAGGTGGTAGGCTTGAACAAGGAGGAGGAGGTAGGGTTGATCAAGGAATAGGGTAGGAGGAGAGGAGGAGGAGGCTATGGTAGGCTTGAACAAGGAGGAGAGGTAGGCTGATCAGGAGGAGGAGGAGGAGCTGAAGGAGGAGGAGGAGGAGGAGCTGTTAAAGAAGAGGAGGAGGTTTAAAGGAGGAGGAGGAGGACCAGTTAAAGGAGGAGGAGGAGGAGCACAGAGGAGAGGAGGAGGAGGAGAGGAGGAGGAGGAGCTGTTAAAGAAGGAGGAGGAGGAACTGTTAAAGAAGGAGGAGGAGGAGGAGGAAGTGTTAACCCAGTCACGCCGGGTACATTTGTAGCCCAAATAAAAAAATCGGGAAGCTACAAAATCGGCGGGCGGAGCTTCCCGGAGTCTGAGCACGGCTCCGAGAAGGCATCGCACTGGCGGGCAGCCCAAACTGTTTATTTTTTCCTTGTGTCTCATATATGTGACACCCGGGATGGATGGGTTAAAGAAGAAGGAGGAGGAGGAGGAGGAGGAGGAGCTGTTACAGAAGGAGGAGAAAGAGAAGGAGGAGGAGGAGGATGTGAAGGAGGCGGTAGTGGAGGAGAATAAAAAGAGAAGGATGTGGTGGTGGAAGAGGAGAATAAGAACAGGAAGAATGACGAGGAGGAGGAGGCCAAAACAAGAAGAGGGAAGAGGAAAAAAATCTACATCTCACCTATCAAAATAGTTGCCAAATGATACTGAAGACTGAGCATTTAGGGTGAGTGTGCGAGACTCTGGCAACAATGCATGCGTGATCACAGTGCTGTCTTCTACTGGGGTCTTGAAGCCTTCGAGAATCTGAAAAGAAGGCCAGAAAGTCTAATTAATAAATAGTAGGTAACTAAATAGGCATAAGTATCACCCTGATTACAAACATTTTCATCACAATTATGCTGGTCATTTAAAATCTTTGTTTCATCTTAGATCTGTATGTGAATGTGGATCATTGCCAAAATTTAATCACACAATAGTTCTTGGGTCAGTAACCTTGTGTACTTATGCTGAAGTCAGCTAACAATAAAAAAATTAAGAAATCAATAAATGTTACCTATTACATACAAGCATATGTATGAAGATTTCAATGATTACAATAATAACAATGACAAATACATGAAACTCAACCTAATGCAGATGAGTACTTTGCATGCCCTATTGGCATGAAATGTATGTTCATGCCAATTGTCGGTTTGGAACGACACCAAAATTCTTTAGTAAAAATTTAGTAAAAAAACACTAAAAATATTGAGCACAAATATCTATATTTCCTATTATCACTACTGACCGGTCTGAGTGATGGGACTGTTATGCCATGAAAAAATTTGGTTGAGGGATGGTTGATGGGGAATATGCCATGATAAAAAAATCTGGTTTAGGGCCTGGGTGACAGGGATGACTTGCCATAAGTGTACTAAGTTCTTGGAGGAAGATTAGACATAGTGGGCATTTAGGAAGGGGATCTTGCATTTTTCCACAGGTAATGTAGGGTGGAAAGTATTATTTGTGAGCCAAAGCTGGAAGAGCGCTAGGTCCAGGGATGAAACTATTTTCATGTTTAGGTTCCCAGGTTCCCATTCCTGTCTGCTGTGACTAGCAGCACAGGACGTATATAAAAATAATTATAATAATATAAAGAATAAGAAAAACTGATACAAATAGAAAAATGTTCCTTATCAAAAAAATGGCAAAAAGGAAAAAAATGCTTATAAAGAAAGAGATACTGACATTGCAAAGTGGAGGCAAGGAATCTTGATACCACACTTGAGTGTTCGTATGGGCTGGGCCTATAAGCTACACACTCAGGACAGTGACCATGCAAGTAAACTTAATTATTGGATTTTTGTAAAGGTATGAGCCACAAGGTACCAGGTCCAATGGGTTATGAACTTAATTCCTCTTGAAAAAAACATGGCGACACATGGATGAAATATGATTCACCACATAAGTTAAACAGATGTTATAGAAACACTCATTTGGCGGAAGGGAAGGAAGAAAAGACAGATAGAGAGAAAAATATTACAAAAAGACATGAAAGTGAAAGAGACAGCAAGAGTAAAATAGAGAAACAGATAGACACTAGAATTTCTAACCTGGTTGCAAGGGGTGATGCCAACAAGCTGGTGGAGCATTGTGCGTAGTTCGCTCACTGATGTTGAGTTGGGCAGCTCCAGGGGGAAAGAACTGCCCTCTGACGCACCTCCACACAAGACCTAAGAGAGAAATGTGGGAAGAGTGAATAGCAAAAAAATAACAATTGGCCATTGCAACCTCACATACACAAATGCATACTCCTGACAGGTGTGATGATAGCATGTAGAGTTCAAGTGTAAATCTCTGGGTAAAGGTGCAATCATATTTGCTTCTAGATGTACACATCTTTAGTGACCCAGTCTGTGACCG